GTACCAACACACAACACAACTCACCTTTCATGCTTACTTGTATACTTATTTATTTATAATATTTCTTTTCTTTTTCTCGCTTCTTCTCTCATTTTTTCCTCTTGTACTATTTAGTATGGGTTAGCGAATCTATAACAGTTAAGGGTTTGTTTCTTTTCTTTTACAGTGACCACATGTATATAGATCCTCGATCCGCTTTTGTGGCTTGTATCTTTTGGATTTTTCTACTCTTACATCAATAAACGAGATTAAAACAGAACGAAATCGTCAGATTTTGCGTAAAGGATAGCTGTTTTAAATTTCTCACTCCAGAATAAGTCCGACTTTTTCAATCAGTCTCTTACTTGAAGAACAGTAGAAAGTTGAATAAAATAGCTCATTTTGAATTTCCTTAAAGTTGAGTTTTGATACTTCATAATTCAAAGTATACCTTGAATATTTTTTACGATGTTATGGCAGCATGAAATCCCGCATAACAAAGTTGTTTATTCTCTTCTACTCATTTCTTCTCCTTGCAGCGGGTACAACATGTGGCCATTTTCTAAACTGCGAAAGATCTGGCACGCCAGGTTATACTATTGCATTGATTATCATCGGTTGCATAAGTCTTTTATGTGCATGTATCGGTTGTTGTGCTCGTGCCAGTCGACATAGAAATCCAGTCACACCCTTGTCTCAAAGAACCCAAACTCAAAATGTTGGAGTGATGGGTGTTCAAGTTCATTCCTACCAGAATATGGGTTTTCCCACAAGGCCAAATCCCCTGCTCTCGTCAGTACATACAATTCCTAACCCCATGCAATCAACGCCGCCACCGCCTGCTTACACGGAACTGCCGCCACCCTCTTATGATTTAGCTACTTCTACCGAAAAAAACAAAGTGTAGTCTACCTGTAGTATATTTTTATTATTTTAAAATAAACCTTGAAGGCAAACTGGCTATTTCTTATCAGCATCTATAGCTTTATGTACTTTGAGAATAGAATTGCTATCTCGTGGAGAAATATACGTCAGAGATTTAGCAGATTTTCAGAAATAGTATTTTCGACAAATCAAGTTTTTGCATTCTCTAGAGCTTCTCCAGCTACGCATGACACACCACTATATGGATCTGCCACAATGAACACATTCCTTTAATCGAAGCGTACAACTAGTGTAAAAGACGACTGACGCACGACATCAGAAAAATCACAGGGATTCAGGTTGAACGGTTTGTAGAGCTCGGTGAGTTATGTTTAGTCCATACCTTTTCAAATTTGTCGCAGCTCAGAAAATGAATCCAAACCTGCATATACATTTTTTTGTTTTTCCCGAAAAGGAATAGTATTCTTCTAAGTATTATTTTGAAGGTATGCCCTTCGATTCTGTTTTGCACATATTGTTCTAAATTTGGAAGCTCAGACAGAACAAATCTTTTTCTAAAAATACTCTGGTCTTCTCGTAACTACTGTTATATGTTTTGGTGTATTTTCCAACAGGACGCTTTTCCCGTGAAAAAGCACACGTAACCATTTCTTGCTTACTGAATCAGTCATTTTTTAATTTGATTCTCACTTGGACTTAAACATTGTAAATTTGATGATAATTCTCTTAGTAGACTGTGATATAAATCTAATTTATTTAGTTGCATTAGCAAGGTCAGTGTTGTACATCTTTAATTTTATTTTTTATAAAGTTAGTGTGTCTTGAGAGGGACTAGATTTTCTAACTCATTTCCAGATAGATCCAAGTCTTGTATGACGGTAGACGTAGACGGTAGACGTGACGCAGACGAAATAAGGGACAATCACATGTATGAATACAAAGCTCACGATTGCACGTAGGTTTAGATCTACGAATGTATTTTAACATTAGCAAAATGAAAAGAATATTCGAACCAACGGGAACCAATATCCATAAAATAATCGATTGATCACTTGGGTGGTAATGCTTCGATAAATGAGAGCACATATGACGTTAGTGTGAATAGCGAGAGTTGCCCGACTGAAGAGATTCTGTATGAGAATAATGCGGAATGGTTGATGGAAAGATATTTTTAATAAACATTTAAGGTGTAATTCAAAATTACAGCAAAAATTTTTTCCGACTTTTTTGGCATGATTGGATAGAGCTCATCTAGTTGCATCGGAAAAATGCAATCCCGCGTTTTAAGAAGTCATTTTCTGGTGAAAAACTTTAAAAATACCCATTTTTTGAAAATAAGCAAAAAACTGAATCGACCAATATGTATCTCTATTCTATCCGAGTACTGTGTACTGTAATTCTTTTGCGAATTTTCACTTGAAAAATTACTGAGATTTTTACCAAACATCGAAAATCAACTAAAAATTTCGAAATACACAGTAGTAGATTCAGTTTTTGATTCTGATTCCAAATATGCTATTTTTACTGCTCTAAACTTGAGTTCTAATGGAGAAAATTGACAATTCCGAATTTTTCACCCTGACTTCGGGAACGTTTCAAAATGTATTCCGGTCGGTCGGTCGCTATGTCTCTATTCCTCAATTCCTCTATTCTCCGACTATTCCTCTCTTATTCCTCTGTCATTTCTCTATTCCGCAATTATTTCTCTATTATAGAATTTAAATTCTAATTTATTTTATTTTATTTTGTATAGTTCGGTTTCTTTGATTGTATTGTTGATACATACATCGGCATATATATACTTCCAATGTATTCGTTTTTTTAACAGACATCTTTATAAGAGCAGACATTTTTCTGTTTAAAGAATAAAATCAGAAAGTAATAAATTTTATATTTACATCAAATGTTCATCTTTTTTATATTCAAGGAGACGAGTGCTTACTGTAAACTTATTTCGTATTGCACCAACTTCGCGAACTAACATTACACTAATTAGAATAGACCCATTTCCATCTTTTATACTAGTTTAAAGTGCACGAGTTGTGCACTATGCTGGTCTATTTTTAAAAAAGGATCCCTTTTAGTCTTTGAGAAATATGACTGTGAATATGGTTAATTATTGTTCAAAAAAGCAAGTTTTTCCGTGTACGACTTCCAGAAACTTGTTTTGTTTGTCTCGAAACTTGCTTTTTTGAACAATAATTAACCATATTCACAGTCATATTTCTCAAAGACTAAAAGGGATCCTTTTTTAAAAATAGACCAGCAT